GTGAGGTTGTTGGGAGCGCAACGGTTGGAGAAGACAAGATCAAGAATATTTCGTTGGAGTGGGTGGTGGATTGTATGCACTGTGCAAGTGCAAAGGAGGAGGTTAAGTGGAGGAGATGGGATGTGTCCGGTTGTCGAGGTTGACAGGGATGTTGAAATCCCAAGGATGCCCTTTGCTCAAAGGGAAGAAATATCCCAGGATTGAGGCTACCATTTACATTTTGAATTGCAGGACACCTAGGACTGATTGAGCTTGTGCTGCGTTGTGACCCTTATTTGAAGTTATTAACCCCTTGGCACCGGCTTTCAGAAGCCAGGAGGGGGGGGGGCGGGGTTTAGGGTCATGTGACCGCCGTGACACACTGTCACGGTGGTCACATGATCGGGAAAGGTCCTGATCGAAAGAGGAGATTGGGACTTTTCCCTGAGTACCGGACATGTGTGCTGGGAGCACGCAGGATGCGCGCTCTCAGCACATATGTTTTTTTTAATAGGACGCAAATGTGCGGCCACTCGGCGTCTAGGCCCAGACTCCAGGAGGCCGCACATTTGCGTTCAAGAGGTTAAGAGCGATGACTGTTATTTCATGCACATATTCATATGGCCTTAATACAAAATATAATTTCACTCAAAAACTATGCGTGAGTCTATTATATGGTTGCAGTCGGAGGGTTCGTCTGGCCAGGGGTTTTAGGTGGTGTCAGCAGGGGTTGGGCTTTCAGAGCGGGGTCAGGCAAGACAGGGTACCCAAAAATTACTCAGCATCCCCTGAGTGGGCAGTGCTACATGTGGTGAAAGTAGCGTGCTGTGTTACATGGGTCACGGACTATGGATATTGTTTTACATGGGTCACATACAATGGATACTGTATTACATGGGACATGGACTATGGATGCAGTGTTACATGGGTCACATACTATGGATACTGTGTTACATGGGACACGGACTATGGATGCTGTGTTACATGGGACACGGACTATGGATGCTGTGTTACATGGGTCACGTACTATGGATACTGTGTTACATGGGTCACGTACTATGGATACTGTGTTACATGGGACATGGACTATGGATGCTTTGTTACATGGGACATGGACTATGGATGCTGTGTTACATGGGACACGGACTATGGATACTGTGTTACATGGGACATGGACTATGGATACTGTGTTACATGGGTCACATACTATGGATACTGTGTTACGTGGGACATGGACTATGGATACTGTGTTACATGGGACACGGACTATGGATGCTGTGTTACATGGGTCACATACTATGGATACTGTGTTTACATGGGACATGGACTATGGATACTATGTTACATGGGACACGGGACTATGGATTCTGTGTTACATGGGACACGGACTATGGATCCTATGTTACATGGGTCACGTACTATTTATTTACTTTCGAGTTAATGAAGAGTGAAGTGCCGTTCTCCTGGAACACCTGTGTCCTCATATCTTTTCTCTAGGCCAAGGTATCCTGATAAGGGGGTCTGACATAGTCCTTGTCATAGGTCTACAACTCTTCCCTGATTGGCTGATAGAAGGTATAAAAGCTGGGCAGATGTCACCATCATCAACACCACCAAGAATGGCGATCCTGTGGTTCCTGTCCTGCCTGGCCATGCTCAGTGCAGCTGATGGTGAGTACATGTACTGTATGTTTGCATCTCATTGTAACATATAACAATTCATAGCACTGTCCATGTGTGCACGTATGTTACTGATAAAGTTCTACACATCTTCATAGAGTGCATGTAGAGCCGAGGTGATCCATCTGTTTCTATCAAAGACATGTGAGAATGTAGAATGTTTTTTAATCATTAAATACAGTTTTGGGTATTTCCTAGAGTTGAAAAGCACATTATGTGTGTAAGTAGACATGATACAGACATGATTGTATTGTATATATATATATATGTGTGTGTAAGTAGACATGATACAGACGTGATTGTATTGTATATATATATATATGTGTGTGTAAGTAGACAGGATACAGACGTGATTGTATTGTATATATATATATATATGTGTGTAAGTAGACATGATACAGACGTGATTGTATGGTATATATATATATATGTGTAAGTAGACAGGACACAGAGTGATTGTATTGTATATATATATATGTGTGTAAGTAGACAGGATACAGACGTGATTGTATTGTTTATACGTATTGTATATATATATATATGTGTTTTTTTCAGGCTGCGGTGTTCCCGCCATCAAGCCCGTTATGTCCGGCTATGCAAGGATTCTGAATGGTGAGGACGCCGTATCTGGATCTTGGCCATGGCAGGTGTCTCTGCAGGTACCACCAAAACGTTCTTCCTTCTTATTCTGGTCCTGAACCTTATATTTACAATGTGAGAGAGGAACGTGAGAGAGCTTTGCCCATCCAGATCCTTTGATTTATGGATCACATATAGTCTCTGCAGTACAGCCAAAAACATCTTCCTTGTTCCTCGTTGCCAGTAGGACATATTACAGAAATAGGAGAGAGCGTGACATTAAGTCATTACTACAGCAAGTATCTGAGAAAGCACGTTTGATGTGACCTTCAAATTCTCCAACGTTTTCAGTTTGCCCCCGGGCTCATCTGAACAAAGCTTTGGCCTCCCAATTTTAGATACATTTAAAATATGTTTAGGCTACTTTTTTACATTTGAAATGGAGTTTTTTTTTTTTACTGCAATACCTTTTGAACATTGAGTCATTGCGGACAGTGAGAAGAAATCCAAATATTCTGAGTTGTCACACAAGGAGGGAAAATCCTCTGATGGAGACAACTATTCCCATGACAACTCTATAGGATGGGAAATTTCTGCTCACTTTGAAGAGATTTCCTTGAATTTTCTGTTGTGTCTCCCTCTAGAATACAAACAGCCAAAAATAAAGGCCGATAGGCACCGTGCTGAGCATTAATTGCGATAAAAACAGAAACAGCAATGATATGGTCTGAGCGAGGCCTTACTTCCTGCAGAGGTACAATTATCAGAAGATAAAGCTATAATCTGATGACTCTTCTTCCACAGGACAGCTATGGTTACCTCTTCTGTGGCGGCTCCCTCATCAACAGTCTCTGGGTTGTCACTGCTGCCAACTGCGGAATCACGTGAGTCTTATATGATAATATTCGACTACAAAGTCAGCGATCACTGCAATGCTTCACCGGTCATCTGTACACCCAGAGCCTCTGGTTTATAGATCGGATACATCCTAAATATAGAGCCATTCATCCAACTGTACACCCAGAGCCTCTGGTTTATAGACCGGATACATCCTAAATATAGAACCATTTATCCAACTGTACACCCAGAGCCTCTGGTTTATAGACCGGATACGTCCTAAATATAGAGCCATTTATCCAGACTGTACACCCAGAGCCTTCTGGTTTATAGACGGATACGTCCTAAATATATAGAGCCCTATTATCCAACTGTACACCCAGAGCCTCTGGTTTATAGACCGGATACATCCTAAATATAGAGCCATTTATCCAACTGTACGCCCAGATCCTCTGGTTTATAGACCGGATACGTCCTAAATAAGAGAGCCATTTATCCAACTGTACACCCAGAGCCTCTGGTTTATAGACCGGATACATCCTAAATATAGAGCCATTTATCCAACTGTACGCCCAGATCCTCTGTTTATAGACCGGATACGTCCTAAATATAGAGCCATTTATCCAACTCTTGTCCCATCCAGAGCCTCTGGTTTATAGACCGGATACATCCTAAATATAGAGCCATTATCCAACTGTCCATCCAGAGCCTCTGGTTTATAGACCGGATACATCCTAAATATAGAGCCATTATCAACTGTCCATCCAGAGCCTCTGGTTTTATAGACCCGGATACATCCTAAATATAGAGCCATTTATCCAACTGTAACATCCCAGAGCCTCTGGTTTATAGACCGGATACATCCTAAATATAGACCCATTTATCCAACTGTACACCAGATCCTCTGGTTTATAGACCGGATAACATCCTAAATATAGAGCCATTCATCCAACTATACATCCAGAGCCTCTGGTTTATAGACCGGATACACCCTAAATATAGAGCCATTTATCCAACTGTACATCCGGAGCCTCTGATTTATAGACCGGATACACCTAAATATAGAGCCATTTATCCAACTGTACACACCCAGAGCCTCTGGTTTTATAGACCGGATACATCCTAAATATAGAGCCATTTATCCAACTGTACATCCAGAGCCTCTGGTTTATTAGACCGGATACATCCTAAATATAGAGCCATTTATCCATCTGTCTTTCAAGCAGTTGGTTTAGGGCACAGATACACTTTCATACAGTTAGCTAGTTCATTCCTTGTACACCATAGGCTTGTAAGAGAATTGGGATTTCCAAGTAATTAGATAGGATATCCAGACAGATAATAGTGTGGGGCCTGAAAGTAACAAAATCATTACCCTTCAGGACAAGAAAGGGCAATGTCTAACTTTGACATGGGGCTGCACCCGTCTGCAGTGTTTAATGTTATACATCTAAAGATATTCCTGTCAATTTAGAAAAGTGACAGGAACTTTCCTTGTCTATGAAGAATTCAAGAATGAGATTTAAATATTAGAGCTGACATCTGAAACATCAAATCAGATGTTAGGGAAGTAATGACCGTTTCTCTCTTTCCATCCAGAACTTCCCACATATGTGGTCCTGGGTGCCTTTGACCGCTCCTCCACGATCTGAAGCCGTCCAGAGAATTAGTATCAGCAGAGTAAGTTCTTTTTCAATAAAGTGATTATGAGCCCTAAACAGTCATTTGTTTTTTTCCAGAAAGTTACATTCTGTCATCTCTATTATGGACAAAATATAAAAACTGCCGGGTCTGTGTATGAAGACTGGTTGGGATTTGTTGGATTTATCTGGTTGGATTTGTTGGATTTATCTGGTTGGATTCCCCTACATTTCTAGGAAGTGAATTCTATTCTAACATAACTTTTCTCAGGTCCTCAGACATCCCAGTTCAACTCTGTGACCATCGCCTATGACATCTCCCTGATCAAGCTTTCCAGTCCCACCACCTTCACGGACCGCATATCCCCCCGTTATGTCTTGCTTCCGTCAATGAGGTCTTCAATGCAGGAGAAAGATGCGTCACCACCCGGATGGGGACAAACCAATGGCGCCAGTAAGGGAATTAGATTAGGCACACAATGCATTTGGGTTAAAAAACAACACAGAACCTAAAAAATGCCCATACAGACAAAGATGAAATATTAAAATGTACATAAAGTTACTACATTGTGTCCCCTATAGTAAACCTTTTCTATATCCTTTTTATATAAAAGCTGTCCATGCACTGTAAATATTTGGCAATCCTGCCAATCTTCTATTGATTTCAGGGCTTCCTCTGCTGCATACTGACCACATTAAGTAGGGAGCAGCGTGCCTGTAGTTTAGTGGTCAGTCTGTGACATCACAAGCTGACCCCCACCCAGCCGTTATTCAGGCTCGATTGATAGTGTCTCCTGGTGGGAGGTGTGCCATAAAAGCAGCTAGGATTTGTATGCATGCAGGGGAGTGGACAATCAATAGCCAATCACAGCCTATTCAAGTCAATGGCTGGGACCTTCAGCTGTAATCCAACCCTTCACCGTATGCACCAGAAGAGAGCTTAGAAGGAAGTATGTGTGGGTCACGTGACCTCTGCTTAGTTTCGTATGAATTAGGTGCTTGGCGGTTTTTTTTTTTGAGATTGTAATGACATTTGACATAATGGAGTGTATATAATGTGATAGCCTGATTGTTTGTTGTAGACATCACAAGCTTTCATTTTGACCTTTTTGGCATACAAATAGGTCCAAGAAATGACCATTCTCTGCTCCTCTAGAGAATGCAAAGAATGAATAAAGCCAGGGATTGTAGAGGTTAGATGTTGGGGAGTTGAGAGTTCAATATGCCCCCAAGGAACTGCTGTGATGATAAAGCTGCTACACATTTTTCATAATTTTTCATTCTCACTTTTCCGTCTTTCAGTACAAAATGGTTCAACTAAGCTCCAGCAGGCATCGCTTCCTCTTCTGGCCATCACTGACTGCCAGAGATACTGGGGATCCAGAATCCAACCCACCATGATCTGTGCTGGTGCCTCCGGCGTCTCCTCCTGTCAGGTACGATGGCCTTTGAATTTCTATTAGCCACCATTACTCAGCTGTGGAATCAGAATCCATACATAAGGGAGAAAAATGAAGTCTCTCACTGGAGATGTGGTTACGTTTTTGGATAGTATACTGGAGAAGTTCAGACTTTATTATGATAAACGCTACACGTCTTCCCTCCCATCAAATGTTGGGTTGTCAGGACTGTCCTCTTTACTAGACACTGTTGCCCTTGGCTGGCTTTTAGATAACAAGAGTTACACTTTCCATATCCCTTGACCCCTTACATGGTTACCACCTACAAAGCTTGATAAACATTCATAGTCTGTGAGGGTTTCCCACATACTGCTGTCTCCCCAAGCATTCCACTATTGCTCAATACAACTCTGCCCCAACTCTATATGTTGCCTGAACCACAGGCAACATCCAGATAGAAAATTTAAATTATTGACAATTGTTCCCTGTGGCCTTTGCCTCTCCACAGGTTGTAATGTCCCTGCCTCTTATTTCTTCAGATACTTACAGTTGCCCCATTCTTTTAGTAGCCAATTCCTATAGGGTTCCTTAAGGTGGGTACAATCTGATTTGGAACACATCGGACAGAATGCTCTAAAAAACCCACATTTCTACTATACAACGAACTCATGGTCTCCCTTCAGGACCTCTCTACCCTCAGGCAGAGGTGGCTGCAGGACATCCCAGACTTGGATAGCGAAGACTGGGAGAAAATATGGAATTTTCCTTTTCATTACCTCGTCTCCTTAAGAAACAGGCTCATCCAATTTAAAATTGTCCACAGAACCTACTTCACCTTGTATAAAGTTCATAAAATGGACCCCTCGGTCTCACAAGAGTGGTGGCAGTGTGCTCACTTTAATGGAGTTTTTTCTCATATTTTCTAGGCATGTTCTTTGGTCACCAACTACTGGGGCAGGTGATCTCTGGTATTAAGACCAAAGCATACCTCCTTGATACCTTCTACAAGGCTCTGCTTGCTGGTGTTGGTGGACGAGCTGGGGGCAGGTGATCTCTGGTATTAAGACCAAAGCATACCTCCTTGATACCTTCTACAAGGCTCTGCTTGCTGGTGTTGGTGGACGAGCTGGTTTCTACTGTAGCAGAAAGAACCTCCCTGATACCTTGGTACAAGGCCTCCTGGTTTCTACTGTAGCCAGGAAAGGTCCCTCCTTGCCAGGAAAGCCATTGCTATGTCCTGGAAGAAAGCAACTCCTCCCTCACTTTATTTTTTAGAAACACTTGGTAAAAGCTGTAAAAAAGACATCTACATCCATAGTGGATGCCCGAAGAAATATAGCAGAGTCTGATCAAAGTGGTTGAAGTGGTTGGTAGACCCTTCTACCGCCTCTATATCTGATGTCATCTGGGGTCTCTTGTTAGCCATCTGTGTTCTCATGCCTATTGGCCCTGAATGTGGCTCCTTCCTTTAAGTCTGGGGTTACCCATCTGCACTGAGTAATGTCAGCCCGTTTTATTGTCATCTTTCTTGAGTGCGAGCCACGCCTTTATAACTCAATTGCCAATGCACTTAGAGTGAAGTGTACTCTTTGGCCCTTGCGTTGGCATGGTAATGCTTTTTTTTTTTGTTTTTTTTTTTATTGTTGGTTTCTGTGTATTGTACCCTTGAAAAAACTCCAATAACCAGAAAATTTTAAAAAAAAATGGTGGGAATCTTTTGTGACATCTTCTCTCTTCTTTTTAGGGTGACGCTGGTGGACCCCTTGTGTGCCAGAGGAACGGAGCTGGACCCTGGCCGGTATCGTGTCCTGGGAAGTTTCCCTGCTCTGTATATAGCCCTGTGGTCTACTCCCGCATCACCGCTCTCAGATCCTGGCTGGACCAGACCGTGGCCGCTTACTAAATACAATTTATCATGTAAAGTTTTGGATCAATTAAAAACATTGTAACCATTCATTTGTTATGGATTCATTTGTTTAAATATATTGTTTTGTTCACAAAGTAGATAACATTTTTTTTGTTAAATGTCTGATGATTTCTAAAGGGAAGGGACAGTTGATGAATTACAATGCAAAGCTGAGGCACATAATGAGGAAGTCTGTAAACTGCGGCTGAATTTTCTAAACAAAAACTCTGAGCAGATCCGAACATATCCTATACAATTGTAGCCATGCCCCCCCCTCCTGACTGCGGTGAGTTTCTCCTTTAATGTGATGGGTGACGATTACTTAATGCAATATTGGACTTGTGGTGTGGAGTTTTGTAAGGAATAGGTCAATACAATCATTTCCTGAGAGGTTTCATCCCAAAAAGAAAATTCAAAGAAGGGATAACAGGACTTTACATATACCGCCGGGAGAAAGTGGATTGAACATGTACTGAAAACAAATGATCTGTTATTCTATACATCAGGACCACTGACTGTCCCTCATTTTTAATGCATATACAGGCGTACCCTCGGTTTACAAATTTAATGCGTTTCTGCGGGACTTTTCGTATTGCGAAAAATTTGTAAACCGAAATGCGGTTTCCCCATAGAAACATGTACAGAAAACCAATTGATCCATTCCGGAGGTCAGAAAAAAAGAGTAAAAAAAAAAGTCTGTTATCTGTTCAAAACTCTTTATAAAGTGCACTTTAAAGGCATAAATACTGTTATAGGGACATGATTAAAAAAAAAAATCATAGGGGCGTGTCCAAGATGGCGACCGGCCAGGTTGGCGGCCGCATAATCCGGAGCTCCGGTGCCGAGCTTTTTAAATCCGCTGCCATCCATGCGGCAGCGGATCACGGAGTGACGGCGGAGGACCCGGGTAGTATCCCCCCGATCCCGGGGAGTCGGAACCCGGATGATATTTTCCGCCCCTCGTGGCGGCTGACGTCCCGCGGCCTGGTGCGGCCGTGCGTGGGCCGGGCTCCCGGCGCCACCCATCAGCTCTCCCATCCGCACCTGCTGCCATCCGGGCTGTGGGAGATCGCCTGGGGACATCCGCGGCGCCCTCTGCATTGCTGGGACTGGGGGAGAGACGCCGCTGAGCCTTGCTGCTTCCCGCGGTGGCGGCGGCCTCTGCGGCCTACATCACCGGGTCTGGAGCCTCCACCTGGTCACAGTGAGTGGGGGATGCGGGTGCCCTCTTATTATTAGCTCCCCCCACAGTGACCTGGGAGTGGGCCTCACGTTGCTGACCCCCGGAGCCTGCCATCTCCTGTAACCCACAGCCCCTGTTGGGCTCAGAGGCCTACTGGGCCTTAATATTGCCATTCCGTGGGGAGTGTCTCCCTGGAGGCCCTGTGCTTGGTGTTGGAGGTCCTCCTGCTTCCCACTTGTCCCATCTTGTGTCCTAGGTTGGGATCTGGTGCCATCATCCTGCTCCGGTGTGCTAATATCTGCGCCCGTGTTACTGTGATCTATGTCCTCTATAAAAAAAACTACCTTCCCATGACTTGCTAATTATCTTTACTATATAATGTTCTCAATCTAGTATGCAGATGAATCTAACCGCATTCATGTAACTCTACAACCCTAAACCTATTGGGGCGTTATATAGGTCCCCTGGGGTTATAATCTCCATTCATTATCCTATTTTCAGTTGATTAAAAAATCACCCCCAGGAGACTCCCTGTATGCCGTCCACAAAGAAAAAAAAGGGACAAGCCCAGAAGTCCCTCACGACATACCTACTTAAGGCACACGAGCTTTGTAACATGTCTCCAGTCAATACAGAGCGAGACCCATGGTCAGTCCGATCCCACACACAGGATACACACCACGCTCCCCCTGTATCGAAGCCTTGGTCAGCGAAAATACACAGCAACTCACAAAAGGGGACTTGGAGTCCTGCTTGGAATCTATGTACGCCAAACACTAGCCGCCAAATTCCAATCAGAATTGCATAAATAAGAGCACTAATGTTCTCTCTCAGGAAATAGCCATGCTTTATATCTCCAGGACAGACCGCCCCCCGCGCCTTACCACAGTAGAACCAAACACGATGAACTTAGCCTGGCCTATGGTGAACTTTCCAGAGAGCATGATCATTTACAAACGGCCTTTTTTCAACTACAGGCGCAGGTGGAGGACCTTGATAATCGCAAATCGCAGGAATAATCTGCGAATCAGGGGAAATCCCCGAAGTCTTGTCTGACCTCTTTCCTTAATCGTGACCAAATTATTTCAATCACTACCTCCCGGATCGTGACCCTGGGTCTTTTGCCTAGTGACCGCATCCATAAAGCCCTGCGCCCCCCTAAAACCTCCCTACTGACAAGAAGCCACCCTAGGGATATTGTCCTGTGCATGAGGGGGACTTTTTGACCAAAGAGGAAATACTCAGAGCTGCTCGCAATACCCCTACGATCTCCTTTGAAGGCTCGGTCTTACAAATCTTTCCGGATGTTTCCCCGGGCCACGTTGAGAAGCGTAGAAAAATGAAAGAAGTCACAAACGGTCCTGTTCTCAGCTCGCTATTCGCTACAAATGGGGCTTTCCCTTTAAGTTGATTGTTCCACATAATGGGAGCACATATTATAGCTACATCTCCTTCTGAAGGTAGAGCAATCTTGGCCCAAACTGGCCTAGCGGATGCCCCAATCAACCTCGTCACGTCACCCTCCACCACCCTCCTGTCTCTCCCATTTGGCATACCCCATCTCCCACGGAGAGATAGAAGGAGAGTCAGACAGGATCGGGTTGATAGGTCCATTCTCACACTTGCCTATTACCTATTGTTTGACAGTCCTTGGTCTTGCCTATTGTCTTTTTATGACTTTAACCGAGAATTGAGACACACAGGGATTTTGTTTCTTACATCTTACGCTGTCAGGATGTGTATTTCTATGGTGGTTACTGCTATGTTAATTTTATAATCCTGAGTAATGTGTGTGCCTTGCATTGATAGCTGGACGAGTTAAGGTATAACAAGGGTCTTTGGTCCCCCCCTCTTAATTGCGCCCATTGGTTTTATGGTTCCACAACTCTTTGACAGGTTTACCCCACCCTGCCTCCTGACATGGCCGGAAGTGTCGCCGGCCCGATTGAGGGGTGGCAGTTCCGTTTTCCCATGTTTTTACAAGGGAGACAGGGTTGGGCCCATTTGGCCCCTTAATATTTGAACTTTTGTGTTTATCAGGTATGACAAATTTTCAGAGCCTGATCCATGTTCTTTAGTTACCTTATTTTGTAGGAGCTCTTCAAATCTCCTCTCTATTGTTTTTTGTCTTCTTTTTTTTCAACACTTTAGTGCATGAGGATGGTGTTGTGTCGGTCTGTGGACATCATGGCCCCCATCTTGGGGCGGGGGGTCCCCTGGGCTGGTTCTGCCACCTGTACGTCTGTCTGCTATAGACCTGCGGATTTCTATGTCTAGCCAATTAATTTTAGGGGATATCCTTGAAATGTGTACTTTTATGATGATAGTAATAAGCTATGTTTACTATGGTAATTCAATGTATTTCGCATAATGTCCAGGTTTCAATTCGCCAAACAAGCGCAAAACGGCCTTTCTTCTCTTCAATATAAACGACTGGGAGCCAAGATTATCTTATTACAGGAAACACATTTTGCAGCTGCAAAACACCCACATATTTTCATAGATCTTATAGGCAGGGGTATTATACCCTGCATTCCTCCAAGAGTAGGGGCGTAGCCATCTTTTTCTACATAACTCATTCCCCTTTGAGGTTCAACATGTGTACCGTGATCCTGACAGTAGGTTTATCATTCTTAAAGGCACCCTTTCAGGTTGAGAACTTACTATTGCTAATGTATATGCACCGAATTCAGCACAAGCTAACCTTTTTTTTTCAAAATTTTTTGGTACTCTGGATAGGTTTTTGTCTCCTCATCTCTTGTGGGTGGGGATTTTAATCTGGTGGCAAATCCTCTTTTGGACACGTAGTTCCCCCCCTCGCGCATTCTTCGCAGGCTTCCCAAAATCCCTTACTAAGAAATTAGATACCCTCCAGTTGGTGGATGCCTGGAGAGCGCACAACACCCGGAGCCAGGGATTACACATTTTATTCCCACCCCACATGACTCTTATGCTAGATTAGACTATATATATTGTACCCCGATTTTACTAGCTAATTCTAAGGTAGCTTGCATTCATTTGAGCCCCTGGTCGGATCACAATATTGTGGACTTATCTATCACATTTGTGGGATTGGCACCTACTCCTTTCTCTTGGAGACTTAATGACTCTATGCTAACCGATATTGACTCTCGCCAGGAAGTGGTTACATCTATTCAGGAATATTTTCAATCTAATTTAACCCCTGATATTTCCCCAGCCACACTCTGGGTAGCCCACAAGGCGGTCCTACGAGGCCGACTTATCTCCATGGCCTCATCCAGAAATAGAAAACGTTGGCAGCAAATACTACTTCTAACCCGAGAATTAGAAGCACACTATAGAAGCCATGTCGCTAATTCATCTCTACTTAATAAACAGCTACTGTCCCAAAAGCGCTTGGAACTGAATGCCCTGCTTTCCCAAAAAACTGAAAAGGCCCTTCGCTGGTCGAAGGCCTCATTCCTATTACATAGTAACTCGGCATCTACCATGTTTGCAAGGAAGTTGAACCACTCTCTGCACCCCCCCACACGTGTATAAATTACGCACAAATTCGGGTGCTATCTCATCTCTACCTCAGGAAGTCTTGGGTATTTTCGAACATTTTTATTCTAAACTACTAGCTCCTCCGCAGTCGGATTCTGTCCCTCTGTCGGACTCTTGGCTGGACTCTATACCCCTCCCTGCCCTTACACCCTCTCAGATTGTCACTCTTAATGCCCCCTGTACTTTAGAGGAAATAACATGTGCGATAGGCGCGCTCAAGCGCTCTACTGCGCCGGGTCCTGACGGATTTACCGCTAGCTATTATAAACATTTTGCCTCTACATTG